ATCTAAAATAAATAATTTATCATAACTATTTAAATATTAATATATAATATTTTTAAGTGAAAATAAATTATCACAAAGGCAACTAGATCGTTGATTGTGAGCGAATACTTTTGACAAACGGTGCTTCGAAATTTTTCTTGAGTGCATTCTTTTAAATGTTTTTTCGTTACTTTTTATTTTAGAAATTGTACAAGGTTGACTTTGATTTGCAAACGAGTGAATTTCATTTGTAAAAAGGAGAATTTCATCTTCGAAAGGGTGAATTTGATTGTAAACTATCTCTATTATCAAACTTTCCAAGTGTAATTGTGTGTGTAATCTTCGAATCTTAAAAAGTCAGATTGGAAATAGCTAGAACGCCATTCTAGGTCTTCTCAGCGCCCACCTTGGGAACCTATGATTCACACAGATAAACATGTAAAAATTAATGATAAATAAGTAGAAATAACATTAACAATGACAAATAAATATTTTTAAAATATATGCACGTATGAAAAAATAATTACAACAATAATTTTACTTAACTGGGATCCCATTATATATTAACTACTATGCCCTGTATTTATGGGCGATAGTGTTTTATACTCGAAATCGTCTGTCCATCCGTCCAACAGATTGGATGTCTACTTTCGTGACAGTTTGGATTTCAATTTCATAGCGACCAATGACTAATTATTGTTATTGTCCATTTTGTATATAGGTACGTAGATGCATCACCATCTTGGGCAAAGCAATTGCAAGCGGATTTACCAGCCGGTACAACGATTGTCACGTTCACGGCCTGGTCACCCGTGTCGAATTATACCAGCACGTGTCGGATTGTGATACGGGTTCGAGGTAAGTATTCGGGATGATCAATACAATTGCTGATAATAACCACGTCAATGTACAGTTATTCATGGAAGTGTCCAGCCACCCTGTACGTATTTATAATACAGGGTGAGTCAAAAAGAACTGTTTAAAATAATTGTTTATCTATTAATTGTATCAAAAAACGTTTTAAGGAATTATATAGCATTGTAAAGGACGGGCCGAATGGATACAATTTGATTTCATAATATCTTATTTTTTTTTAGACATTAAGGCGACCTTGAGTTTCTTCAAGGTTAATGCATTCTTTTTAATACCATCCCAGCCAACACCGTGTATTCAAAGGACGTCCGTTTCATGTTCCAGTTTATATCCGAATGTCCTACGTCCATTTTGGACATCCATTAGACGTTCGTAAGACGTAAATTTCGGATATTGTAGGAAACGTCCGACCCGAAAGTTTTATGGATGTTCTCAAGACTTAAATTTTGGTTATTCTAGAAACGTCCGTTCCGCAAGTCCTATACATATTCTCAAGATTTAAAGTGCAAATGTTCAAAAACAAAAAGAATAACATAAAAGAATCAAATTGCATCCATCCGATGCGTCCCTTAAAATGTTGTATAGTTCATTAAACCGTTTTTTGAAAGAACTAATAAGTAACGAGTTATTTTAGATAGTAATTCTTTTTGGCTCACCCTGTATGTACCTTTTATAAGCAGAATATTTGTTCCTACTTTTACAAAATTGTGACGGTTCTGTATTAATCAATTATTTAAAAACATTAGCTATCGAGTACTGTTCTACATACTATCAAATAAACATTTACTTTAGTGAAAATTGAATTTGCACAATGCCATTTCATAGTAATCGGACCAAGTGGTTACTAGTGTCGTTTAGTCTTTACGTTGTTATTTCAATATGTTCATTAATACAATAATTTTAAATCAGGTATCGTTATTTATTAGGCATCATCTAGAATATGTTTCTAATGTATGCACTTATGTACATGCCATTATTCTAATAATCTAGGTCCATTTGGATGAACAATTTTCAAGGAATCGAGATACTACTGTAGCTTTGTAATAAAATATTTGTAGACTTACGTTCATTGCATGTTCCTCCCATCGTTGAGATCTGTGTACAATAGATCCGTAAACTTCTACAGATGTTACGGTAGGGCATTCAGATTGTGGAGGTTCTGCTACATTTGTTTGCAAAAGTTGACGTGAAGGTGAATGGAATGCGAGTTTCAAATCGAGGGTACGAAGTAGTAAAGTAAACTTAGTTTCTAGGTGTCCTCAGAGCGCTGTCAGGGATTTTCTTGATCCGGTAAAGTCAGTGAATACTGTCCACCATTTACATAATGCCTGTGGTTTCGGAAGATAAAGCAAGAAGGAATGAAACCGAACACATAGAAAGTTGGAAAACTTTGTGAATTTTTTAAGTATAAACATAATAATTTTCAATGAAATTTCCCATCTTATATAGCTTGTTATTTTAAGAAAGATGATAAAAAATAGCAAATACTTATGTATCTAGACAAGCAACTTGAGTTTATGAAATAATAATTTGTTGTAGTTAGTAGTATGATATTTATTACAACGTCATCTACAGTCGAACGTGAAAAATATTTAAGGAGAATAATAAATGATCGAAATTGAATTATGAAAGTTAATGTACCAAATAACGTCATTTAAGTGACCGTCAATTTAATGACATTTATTTCAAAATCAATTTTTTTTATTCTTACTAGGACATAAATACATATTTATCATCTAGAACAAAGTTTTCTATACAAGAACTGTGTACGTATTCTTTCATGAGTAATGCAACCATGGAGATACAGCCTTAGAAATAATACTATTTAATTAAATAAAACAATGATTTGATGTCTAACAACCCAATATCACAAACGAAATTTAGAAGCGATGCACTACACAGAATCGAGCACCGACAACCAAACTTCGCTAACAAGGGAACCTCGGTGACTGATACACGCCGAATTCGATGTAACTTTCTACAAATGTTCATTAGACCTACGTAAGAATTTAGGCGTAATCCGTGCGTGCCCGGGTTTTTACTTTAAGGGAGAAGTTAACCCTTCTATCCGAACCCACTCTTCTATGTGTTTATGAATCTTCAATCACAAAAGATGTCAAAAAATTGTTCTTGGGGTCTGTAAATCTGTGCGAAAAATTGTTTGAAAAAATAATTTTTTACAAAAATTACTTTCCCCCTCTTTTCTTGAGAAATTTTTCGCACAGATTTCTGGCCTCATAAAACGGTACAACTTTTGTTTAACAATTTTGTAATATCTTCTGTAGTTTGAGATTTAAAAGCACTTACATAAAAGGGGCCAGTTCATTTGTACAAGTATTGTTCACAGTAACATTTATACAAAGTTGTATCAAATTCGGTGTGTATCAGTAATCGGGGTTCCCTTGTAAGACAATCAAAGCGACGAATCGATACTCGACAATTACACGGTAAAATATACATACATATAATAGCAATGCTACTCAATCAGTACCAGAGAAAAAAGAACAAAAATACAGAGCGAGAAAGAAGTCCAGTGAAATAATGTTTCAGTGGTGTGAAAATTCTTTTTTTTTTATCGATAGTTCGATAGCCGCGCTGGGAAAGCAGTGAGAGAAATAGAGTCAGTGGTACAGTACCATGTATTTATGTGACATTGCCAGCGAAAACCGTAGCAGTTCTCCGGAGAACGCTTTCCTGTCGAGTGTTATTACGTGCTCGTGGAAACCAATAGCGTAACAATGATGTACCCATGGATTTAATGCGCCCGGAGTTTTATTTCACGCTTCAACTGTCGAACCAATATTCATATAGTTCTCCATGGAACAAATATCTTTTCTTTCACGAGACGGAAAATCTATAGATCGATATTTCCACTTCCATCTAATACTTATCAGTAGACTGCGGATTCTTATGCAAAATTACATTTTTTAAAGTAATTTATAAAGACAAGAGGAAAGGTAGGAATTTCTTACTTCTCTTAAACATCCTATGAGGCTCAAAATTATATAAAAAATTCATTGTATCTCATGGAAGTTTCTTATTTTCTTGCATTTTACAGAGCCCTATAGATTATAAATGTATGAAATCATGTATAATAAATCTCATAAGTCTACTTATCAGGTTATTTCAGAAGTCTTTGCGAATTTTTGCGTGAACTTTATTACGATAGTGGTAAATACTCAATCACGGCGGTCGCCTTGCCTGCTACTCAGCGTAACGGAAGCGTTAAACGCGTGTTTTGCTGAACTATTTTGCTTCTCTATTGAAAACAAAACATATTTTGTAACTTTCCTTGAGACTTTCCACGGCAGAAAGGTCTAGTCTATCGCGTGCTGTAGTTAGAGTTTTTCCTAGACCCTTAGTTTTTTAAATAAATTGCATAATATTAGAAAATTGGTGCGTTTTCGGTGTCCTTTTCATCGGAAGAATCCGGAGAATTATTTTGTGCCAAAAGAAACTGATGTGAAAATATGCAATTATCATGAAAATTGATTTTGTCAAAAACTGGACGTGTTGGAGAGAAACGGTTTGCAGATTCGTCTTCAGCTTATAAAGATCTAACAGGATCGCCTATTGGAGGTTACAGAAACGAAAGAGTTCAAAAATGTTGAAAAACTAAAAGAGTTCAAATTTGTTGAACAGGATATGTACGATCCTTTTTATTGTGGCAGTCAACGTGTTAACGTCTGTTGATTATCACGAACTCTAGTAAGATCTATAAATAGAAAGCTGATGTTTATGTAGTTATAACAAATTTGTTCAAAATACACTACGATGACAAATACAGCAAGGACGAACGACATGTTTATATTACATTTAATCCAAGAACGGTCTTAATAGATGAAATCAAACTTCGTCGATTTTGAATCCTGTAAAATGAACTACAAAAATGGGAATTTCCATAAATATCCGTAATCTATATAAGGTGTAACAAAAATGTTGAAGGATCCGGAAATGGGAGACTCGTGAGGTGATTTGAAACAAGTTTTTTAATTTATTCACTGTCAACGTTTTTGCGTTACTAACAAAAACTCTGTATCAAAATTCATATTCTGTTTCGATTCAATTACTTAGGTTCAAAATTTTTCGTGCATTAACACTAATTCTTCGTTAAAATCGACGATTCCGTAAAAATGACTAATTCCATACAAAATTACTGTACACTCCTCCTAAAATCAAACCTACACATCAATTATGCCACTCACATTTCACGAGACCCCATGTACGCGTTACTTTCTATTTCATACATGACATTTCCCAGAGATATCGAAAAGTCGAATTTTCCCCCGCGCATCTTTTTCGCCGGGGGAAATCACGATCCGTCATGCATCAGAATTTCGATTGTACTCGACACACCTGTAAAGGCGACGTACTCAAAGATATCTACCTAACTGGAATCCCGTAAGTCAGTAAAGTTTTGACGCGCTGGATACGCATTCCAGAACTGGTTGGCGCAATACGGTGTAACGTGCACGGGAATGAATGGTTGCGGGCGCAGGCTCGAGAATAGAAACGTTATTTAGCGGTATTATTTGATCTCGCTTATGCGTGATTTATGATCGAGCTGCTTAACCGCGAGATAATAGAGCCCCCAGTTGCCCGGAGCATTTACGTAGAAAGAATTGCGATACTCGAACACATATCATCCCGGGAACGGCTGGCCTTCTCACGTGGTACCTTTGTTTTTGTATTTTTCCGTGGGCGAAGAACTCACTTCCAGGGTGCGAGATACGTATCCCATAATTCTCCGCTCTGATCGTTCAATATAACGTCTCTATTATTAATGTCAGCTCTCTAGCTCTTGCCAGGAGTCCGCAGGGGCTGGGACTCCGTGGACAGTCAAGGTTTTATCGGTTTACATGACTTTTTTTTTTTTTACGTTCGATATCTTGGAAAACGCGGTCGTGGTACGAAATGCTGCGTTACGGATAATATCAAGGATTGTGAGGTTGGGACTTCCTGATATTGTATGTGGGCGATCTGGG